GACACTCAAGAAGAACTTTATCGTAATGAGTCAATTACCTCTTCGATATCCGACACTCCGTCAAGTGCTGAGAGCGTGTATGAAAATGACGTCACACATAAGAGGCAAGATTCGCTGAGACAGGAACCGTTGGAGAACATCGCACCTCAAACAGATGATGTTGGCGATGCAGATATGTTAGACCCATTGGGTATAAACTCGCATGAAGCCATCTTAGAAAGTTTTGGATGTGAGGAGCCAGAAGAAACCATCCTTGAGCACTACATCCGAGAAGAAGTTCTGTCAGACGTCTCCACAGAGTCCTGTCACGACCCAGACGAAATAGACGAGTGTCTTCGTGTCGAAATTGCTGCAGCGTCGTCAGACAGCGAAACCGATGATAAATGGAGGTGCTTCTTCTCTTCCTCCATCAATAAGGAAGATGATGATTCCTACCTTGACAGCCTTGAGCTGAGCGCACAAGAACTCTTTATTCAAAAAACAGAAGTTCTGAATACTGAGGAAGTTTCAAAGGAAACTGAAGAGCAGGAGGTTCCTGTGGGAGAAGAAGTGCTAGAACAACCAGGGAATGACCCAGATCAGCAACCGCAAGAGATATCTTACAATTCATCCACACTGTTCCACGGCTTGTCCAAGATTTCCGAAGATGATGAGGATCTTGGACGAGGCTCAGCAACCCACAAGAGCAATTCATTCGATTCCGTCAAATCCGATTCCGGCAAAAAGGTGCCGAAAGATTATTGTGTGATTCAGGAAATGAAAAGCGAGAACGTCAGTACTGAACATGTGGATTTCAAAGTTGCCCGCCAACAGTGGCTAGAGATCGAAGAGCAAACGAAAAACTTGACACACCATCCAAGCACACCAACAACTCGATCTGGCACCTGCCAAGGTAGTCACAGTTTCATGTATACGCCTGTCCGCAACATTGACCGGCCCAAGAGGGACCTTGAGTGCTTGTCGCTTGCAGAAGACTATGCGCACAGCCAGTTTAGCCCTTGCTCTGAGGATTCAGGTCTGGACGACTCTAGCTACAGATCGCCGTTTGAAGACCCAGAGACTCCAATTGAGAAAGAGATTCGCCTGACCATGGAGCGTGAGGACAACCTGAGGCGTGAGAGGGGAATGTCAAAATCGTGCTCCAGTGACTGCGTACAGATGAGGGTGAGATCTGCCAGCTTGAACCCTGGAAAACTATGCCAAGAAATCGATGAGAAAAGGAAGATGTTTGATCACCAGGATGACGATAGTAGTATATCCAAATCTCTCATCAGCATGATGCCTTCTTTCACCATTACCTCCTCACCAACCAAAAGCTCACAGAAACTAGACTTTGCCACCAACAGCGTTATCGTCCTCGAGACAGAGCCTTTCCCTCCAAGTCCACGACATGGAAAGATGGTGTCCTCCAAATCTGCTGACTGGAGACCTGAAGATACCCCTAATGTCATCATTCTGGAGACATCAAACCTCATCATTCGAAGTGCATCTGAGTTCAACTTGAATTCTGCTTCAGAGGAAACCCAGGAGAAGATGTTCCTCAACAACCCGTTTTTTAAGCTGCGGTCCAGGAGTACGATATCTCTCGTTGATGAGGAGATTAAGATGGTGAGGCAGCGAGAAGAGGAACTGAAACGTCAAAGGGCCAGTGTTTACTCAAAGGATCACTTCCTGATGTCTCCAAACCGTTTGGATAGCTCATCGTTTACAGGTACTGCATGCCAACAGAAAAATACTGACAGAATTTTTTATTTAATTCATCTGAAGTAATGACTACATCACCGAGACTGCAAAACACATGCATGTCATAAAAAGATCTGTTCATTATTGGTTTTCAATATAATTTCAGATGATGTGCCAATTAAATGCAAATCATCCCCTTCATCTCCAATGAAAACATGCAGAATGGATCGTTCAGCTTTGTCATGTGATCATCGAGTAAGTATATGTATGTATATGTGCATGTACAGTGCTGGTCAGAATTATTGCCCCCTTGGTAAATATGATCAAAGATGGCTGTAAAAAATAAATCTGCATTGTTAATCCTTTTGATATTTTATTAGCAAATTATATATATATATATATATACATATATATATATACATACACTCACCTAAAGGATTATTAGGAACACCATACTAATACTGTGTTTGACCCCCTTTCGCCTTCAGAACTGCCTTAATTCTACGTAGCATTGATTCAACAAGGTGCTGAAAGCATTCTTTAGAAATGTTAGCCCATATTGATAGGATAGAATCTTGCAGTTGATGGAGATTTGTGGGATGCACATCCAGGGCACGAAGCTCCCGTTCCACCACATCCCGAAGATGCTCTATTGGGTTGAGATCTGGTGACTGTGGGGGCCATTTTAGTACAGTGAACTCATTGTCATGTTCAAGAAACCAATTTGAAATGATTCGAGCTTTGTGACATGGTGCATTATCCTGCTGGAAGTAGCCATCAGAGGATGAGTACATGGTGGCCATAAAGGGATGGACATGGTCAGAAACAATGCTCAGGTAGGCCGTGGCATTTAAATGATGCCCAATTGGCACTAAGGGGCCTAAAGTGTGCCAAGAAAACATCCCCCACACCATTACACCACCACCACCAGCCTGCACAGTGGTAACAAGGCATGACGGATCCATGTTCTCATTCTGTTTACGCCAAATTCTGACTCTACCCTCTGAATGTCTCAACAGAAATCGAGACTCATCAGACCAGGCAACATTTTTCCAGTCTTCAACTGTCCAATTTTGGTGAGCTCTTGCAAATTGTAGCCTCTTTTTCCTATTTGTAGTGGAGATGAGTGGTACCCGGTGGGGTCTTCTGCTGTTGTAGCCCATCCGCCTCAAGGTTGTGCGTGTTGTGGCTTCACAATGCTTTGCTGCATACCTCGGTTGTAACGAGTGGTTATTTCAGTCAAAGTTGCTCTTCTATCAGCTTGAATCAGTCGGCCCATTCTCCTCTGACCTCTAGCATCAACAAGGCATTTTCGCCCACAGGACTGCCGCATACTGGATGTTTTTCCCTTTTCACACCATTCTTTGTAAACCCTAGAAATGGTTGTGCTTGAAAATCCCAGTAACTGAGCAGATTGTGAAATACTCAGACCGGCCCGTCTGGCACCAACAACCATGCCACGCTCAAAATTGCTTAAATCACCTTTCTTTCCCATTCTGACATTCAGTTGGAGTTCAGGAGATTGTCTTGACCAGGACCACACCCCTAAATGTATTGAAGCAACTGCCATGTGATTGGTTGATTAGAAAATTGCATTAATGAGAAATTGAACAGGTGTTCCTAATAATCCTTTAGGTGAGTGTATATCAAAAGGATAAACAATGCAGATTTATTTTTTACAGCCATTTTTGATTATATTTACCAAGGGGGCAAATAATTCTGACCAGCACTGTATATACAGTGTATATATATATGTGTGTGTGTGTGTGTGTGTGTGTGTGTATATATATATATACAGGCCTGTAATGATCTCAAAGCGTCCATGTTTTCAGAGAAAATTGAAAATGAAAATCACTTTTATCGTCCTCTCACTAGTTTCTTGAAACTTATGCTGGAGGCCGACGTAAAAGTGCCATGGCTTTGCGCTGGGAGGCAGGGGAGTTTGCGAACAATGAGTAAAAAAAAACAAGATGGACACTGATCGTCAATTTGCAGCTGTTTTACGTAAAAGAAAAATTTCAATGCTCAAACTTGTTTGTTTATTGTGACAGCATATACACTTGCTACTGCTGCTTGTGTGACTTTGTTGTTGATCCAGAAACAAATCTGCATAAGCCAGGATGCCTAAATGTTATTTGAATGTAAAGTTTCACGCATATGTGTGATTCCTCTTTGATGAGGTATCTAAAGAGACTTATAAACCATATTTTTTAGTGTTTTGTCTATGAAGTTAAGGAGAATATGTACTGTATATTCGTATATTCATATATTCGTATTTTCCTGTATGGAAATGTTTGTATATCCCTAAATTATATGAAAATATGAAACCGTATTAAAGGGTTTTAGGATAAAATTTAAGTCAAAATATACACTAAATGGATGCATTTTGTTAAATATCACAGAAAACATCAATTTGGTATCTTTTGTCAAAAGGAAATCATTGAGAGATTTCTTTTTTTTAAAGAATGAATATGAATTTGATTGCTATGATTGCTCAAGGAATAGAGGACATTTTTTGAAGATCCTAATCTGCATCCAGATAACATTTCAATACTTCAGTTACACTTAGTATGAAAAGCTTAAACCTGTTCAGAAAATCATCTACTATCTGAAAATGACCTGTTGCTTTGTTGTCCACAGAAAATGTGCATATTTGTCAAACCGCCATGCTTTTAAAAGAGTATTGCTTGCTAACCTTGCTTACCATGTCAGTCACAAGAACATTCTTGCTTTGCGTACCATTTGAACAATTACGTGTTCAAAATAAGAATTCAAAAATAAATGTCAATTAAAAGGAATTGTCTTTTTCTACTAAAACAGTTAACTGCAAACACACCAGCTTGTCTTTGTATTAACACTTCACAGGAGAAAACACATTCTCACACAGAAAATGTATTATGACACACACACACAAATAAATGGCATGGTATTCAGTCTATATGAAATAACTCACCAAAAGATGATTTTACAGAGAGAGCCAGCAGCACAGGAACCCATGTTCTTAAACAGCTGAAATAACTGTGCAAAGAGATGCATCAATACAAAATAAATGCACAAATTCTAGAAGATAAAGCCAGTAACAGTTTAATTTAAAAAAGCTTTATTAAAAAGGCAATAGATCTGTCACAGATTGTCTTGTGTGCAAAAACCTTCAATAAATGGTTTATTTCATCCAAACTACATTCGGTCTTTGTATATAACGGGCACAATCGTTTTTAATGCGGTTGTGAATGTTTACATCTCAGGCAACAGTAACAGTCTTTAAATCCACAATTCACTTTCAGAAATCCTCATCCAGAACACGTCGTTCAAAAACATCATTTCATATTTACTTGATCTGTAAACATGATCAATAATGGTTTCTCCAAATAACACACAAAGGTAATACGTTTTTCAGATTCGATTTTTAAAAAGCAGATAATCAGGAGACATTTAAATAAAAGCATCATTTGTTCTTTACAACAAATCATTTTATAGGTAAACCATAACATTTATAATAAAAATAAATTACAAAAACTTCTAAAAAAAAATCATACAACTAAATTGATTTATACCTCAGCAGTAAAGAAATTTAATTTCAAGTTAGACAAATTCATTTTAAATAATCACCGAAAATTGACAGCTGGTCATTAGTTAGTATAACGTACTCCATATTTCTTTGGCTTGTTTTAACATGGGCACAATTAGAGAAAGTCCCTGAGACTAAATGTGGAAATGACTGCTGAGAGTGTCATGCTAAACTGATGGTCCAAAGGAGAACAGTCAGAAATCCCAGATTTCCACAGAGATAAACAGCCAGAACTATGTTTTTAAAACAAGATTCCTAGAAAAAGAAACAAACATGCAGTGGATATAACCGTAATGAAATGCACATGTTGGTCATGAGGAAACAAACTTAACTCACCATGCTAGAAGTCTGATTCTCATCAGGAACAAACATAATCTCCTCTTTGTCGTCAGAATTAATATGTTCAGTGTAGAATTTGACGTTTTTAAAATATTTACCTGAAAAGCACACGTACACAAAAACTGAAGCCGATTAGCATTCAACCCAACATGTCAATTACTAATGCAGTATAATAAAAACATTTGACAATTTAATGGATTCATACAGCACAAATGATTTCCAGGCGAGACACTAAGAAACACTACTCATAAACATACAGTAAACGGAGGAATCCAAGTACAAAACACACATGGTTGGAGGCGGTTCACTGACCTATTGGTAAAAACCCCCTTCGATGCACTTCCAAAACCAAATCTGCCAGCACAAACCAGATCACCATGAACGCCAGGACCCCTGTGGACCATGGGGCCGGCAGGAGCAGAGCTTGCTGGTGGATCCCGAGGAAGATGGTGACAACTAAATCAGGAAACACACACAGCTCGCTTAACACATACTGCTAGTGTTTCAGACACTCTGAACTAATATTATGCATCATAACATGACTAGCCTCCATAAAACTGCAATACAATATATTATACAGTATACCACATGCAATCAGTTTTGATAATAAAATTTGATTCTGACAAAACTGTTCACTGTGCAATTTTACTGAGCTTACAAAGCCACTTTCTGCTGTCGACATTGTTTATACTATAGATCGGAGCCACATAATTACCCATTCAAGACTATTCACAGCGTTGAATCAATCTTACCAGCTAGGATTTGAACTATTGTTCCTGTTCCAAAATGCATCCAGTTGAAGATGTATCTCCTGAGAGCAGGTTTCACAGAAAAGACATTTCAAACATGACCATTTCAATCACAATTAATATTAAAACTGTATTCACAATTCACAAGCTATCTACACTCACTGTTTAAACATTTTCTAAAATGGGATAGCCCCTGACATACAACTCAGAAGCCACCTTAACAGGAATTTCTTTTCTTTTTTTTTTTGCAGTATGCATAATGTGTTTAACATTTTTATAAAATATCATAGTTCCTGACAGACAATTCAGAATCTTGTTATATTGTTCAGAATGGTATATTGTACACTGCCTTTCAAAACATTGTTTTCTTCTGCTCACCAAGGCTGCATTTATTTAATCAAAAATACTGTAAAAACAAATATTTTGAAATATTAATTCATTTTAAAATAACTGTTTTCTATTTGAAGATATTTCAAAATGTAATTTATTCTTGTGGTGGCAAAGCTGAATTTGTAGCACTCCAGCCTTCAGTGTCACATGATCCTTCAGTAATCATTTTAATCTACTGATTTGGTGCTCAAAAAAACACATTTCTAATTAGGAATGTTGAAAACAGTTCTGCTGCTTAAAAATTCAGTGGAAAATGCCAACTCTACTTAAAAAAAAAAAAAATCTATGCAGAGCACAGTATAAACTGCAGTATATGGTAATAGTTCATAGTAAACATTTCTTTTCTATCTGTATTATGCAGTGCTCCTGTTTCCAGGATTTACCTGGAGGCGTCTGGCGCTGGTCTGAAAAGCGCCATGACAGGTTGGATGACAGTGAGTGCCATGACGACACAGCCCAAATAGGGGTGTATGCCTGCCCGCTGTGGAAAATAGATTACAGATTAGAACTGACTGTATTAATGAAGCTAATGTTGTCAACAAACTTCATGAAGAAATTAGTAATGACAGGGAACAGACAAAGTCAAAGTCTGCCAAAGTACAAGTTAGATTGGTATTATTTTGTGTGGGGGCGGGTTGGACAACTGGAACAGGGCGCCCTCAGCTGGTCATACACAGGAAATGACAGAAGCTGTGACAGATACTTGGCAAGATGGATGTCACAGATGCCCCTGTTGAGTCACAAATGTGTCCCTCATGCCCAGCCTTACGGATGGATACACGTGTCAGCTTGAGGCTCAAATAAGCCAGCACTTGCGGAATTAATAAGACACTCGATCAACACTGCGCTTGATTAATCCCTGAAGAAAAGTGGGTGTGTTTTTCTTAAACGAGCCAAAAAGATGGGTCACAGCTGATGAACACGGGACATTTATTGGCTCTTTTTTTATTCTGAGCAGACAGCATGTGGGATCTGACACATTGACAGCACTGTTGAACAGTCAGAGGTGTGTGATAAAGGGGGCGAAAATATGACACACTGTTAAAGCATGAGTCTTACTCATAGGCAGATGTCTGTGTGTGTGTGTGTGTGTGTGTGTTACCTTGCTCCAGCCTCCTCTGTACATAAAAGGCAAAACAAAGCCGACCAAGGTGAGCAGAACTGTGAGGGTCATCAGCATTCGGTGTAACTGTGGAAACAGAAAACCTTGAAGATGATACACATTTGAAAATGTTCCGAAATCCACATTTTAGCAAACAAGCTCCTACCTGAAACCAGACCTTCTGCCCCAAAATATTCCTTTCAGGCCAATCGGGTTTGAAATATCGTGCCATGATGACACCAGCACTGACTGTCGACATCCAGGCGATCAGCATGAAAGCCCCTTCAGATACAAACAGATGCTGAGTTTTAGAACAGTTAGCAGAAACCAGATGTTATCTTTAAAACTTTAAGATTTTTGTAAATGTTGCCACAACTACACAATTACTATGGTATTTTGGGTGTTTGCTAGGTCGATGTTTACTTCCCCAAGAGCCCAAAACAGTGTTATTTTAGCATTATGTTCAGTACTTAATAATGTTTTGAATTACCTTTTATTTTTGCATTTATTTGAAATAGAAATCTTTTGTAACATGTGCCCAAAACAGATAATTTTAGTATTATTTATCTAAAATTATAGTACTTAATAATGTTTTGATTGGCTTTGAGTTTTATATTTATATATATATTTAGTAATTTAGTTATGGGCTTTTGTCACTTTTATAAGTTTTTGTGTTTTTTATATTACATAGCTTTAATTTATTTTCATTTCAGTTAATTTTAGAACTTTTATTTATTATTTCCATTAGTTGCCAAGAATTTTCTATCAGATGGAGATAGAATTTTCATTTATCGGAGTAAGAAATTAGATTGAAATAAAGCTGAAATTAAATAAAACATAAATATTAGAAGAAAATATTTAACTTAATATTTAAGTGATCTCAGATTAAATTTCTATCTCCGATAAATTTCTATTAACAATTCTTATAACGATTCAAACAAACAATCTGCCCAGTTTTGTTATTTAACATCACCATGATATTTGATGAGCAAGGGCGATCGAGAACCAGTTAGATCCTCAGGAGGTCCCGTTATGACTGTCTGATAGGTCGAAATCAGAGGTTGGCGGTCATGCCGATGAGTTAGCCCTGGAGAGAGAGAAAACAGTCTTTGACACTTTCGACCACAGAAAATAATAATAAAAAAAACTAAAAAAACAATGTCTTACCATTTTCAGCTCGACCATGTGCCATGAAGAGGTAGTACATCTGGTCCAGGATGTACCGATTCACATTGTCAGGTTGGAGACGAATGTCTCTGCTGAAGCTACACTGAATCACTCCGTCTGATAGTCTCCAAACTGTATCTTTCAAAATGTTCTAGGAATGAATATGAGCACAAAGACAAGAGATTAAATTCATATTAATAATATATTGGGGGGGGGGGGGGGGGGGGGGGCTTGTCTTTAAATATTTTAGTATGTTTTTAAAGTAATAATTTAAAAACAAAAATCAAATTCCTGTTATCATTCCTGTGCAAAAGTATAAGGTAAGCAGCGCTGTCAAGCTTAAAGTCACCATGAAATCAAAATTAACAATTCTCAATTATTTTATGGAATATTTCAGTATTTATTATAAATGATTTACCCATGCACATCATTATGTTTTTATTTTATTTGCAGCAATAGCAAACCACAACCATCCAATCAATTCTCGATGGAGAAAATCAAGTCCCACCCTTGTTTTTTCTTGTTCTAGAAGCTGTTTCAATCAAATATAACTGCATTAGTCAAGCCTCCATTTCCAGCTCAAAGATGATTCATAGAATTAGCAACAGAGGCTTGGGATGAAACGCGAAAAGCATTTTAAGGGCAAAAACCTGACAAATGTCTTTAAAAAAAAAACATTTGAACAATATTTTGAGGTGTGGAAACCGTAATATATGCTGAATGATTGAAACCAGGCCGTTGAACTCCGCCTCGGCTGCAGATTATTTCTCACTTAAACCAGGGTGTGCTGTTTGTTAGACATTTTCACTGTTTAATCAATGCAAGTATACCTCTGAAGAGATTTCTGGGTGAGTCCGTCCAAAAACAAATGCAGCCTTGATATCAACTCTGTCTCTGTCTTTGATACACAGATAGACATCATCGTTCCCCTGAAATTCACAACACATTTGCTATTATTTATGCTAAGACATGCTAGTCATTCAAAGGCATAATGATAATAATATTTTATTTTAGAATCAATGATATGCTATTACATCACTATCATATCAATGATATACTATTATACTATATTGTTTTCATAAATATTTGTAATTTTCATTTTAGTTAAAGTTTTAGCAATTATTGTAATTTATTTTTCTTGAAAAATATGCCTATATATTTTATTAAAGTTATTTTAGTGCTTAAAGTTAAACTAAAAAAAATGAAAGAAATGTGTTTTTTATACATTTTAGTTTTAGTTAAAGCTGCAGTCCGTAGTTTTTCCTCTTTGTCGCCATCTCTGTTTGAAATCTGCAATTGCAGTTATTCACGGAATTATCAACTTTACGTGGGTTGTGCCTCGGCACGGCACAGCGCGGATGAATACAAGGTTTTGAGGATAATCTGCGGCTGTCAGTCGGTGTGGGTACTGGCATTCGAAATCACAGATTCTACTTTTTGGAAGTATGACCAACATAAGAATTTTCACTGGAAAATTAAGTAAGTAATTTGTTCTGACCAACTAAGGGGAAAAAAGCATTACAGTAAATCGCGCTGATTAAATCTAACGATCGCTTATCATATCACGTCAAACGGTGCTAATTATACTTTGTTCTCAAATTGTTAATGTTAACAACGTCAGCATTGCGTGACTACATATAATGTCCTTCCGATATTTATCTTTGTTTTTTCAATGGGCCGGTTGCAGTCTCTTTTTTTCTGTAGCCACTCCGAAGTCGGAAGTCTTTTGCATTTTACAACGGGTGAATCTCCAGTTGTCACTGATGATTGTCGTTTGAACATTTCTGGATCCGCCATCAAATTGATACGTTTATATCAAGTGCTGTTAGAAAAGGCTATAAATCTCCATCTCCAACATCCTCACACGCAACATAGCCGACTAGCCGAGAATCCTTCTTTATGTGTACAGATGTGACGTAATGAGGCAAAAACATGCTCGAATCTCCCGCGGAAATCCACCAGTACCACTGGAATTAAAACATTATTACAAGCTTACCGTTTTGAATCGAGCTAAGGCAAGCAGATAGTTTTGAACACTGGCTGGTTATGTACTTGCTTAATTTATTTTGGATCATTTTTAACCCAACAAAATTACGGAATGCAGCTTTAATGATTATAACCATAATTTCACACTTTCAGACTATTTACCAGAAATCAGAGTGTGTCATACTACAAAAGGTCAAAGTAATACATGTTGTGCAATAGGATGTAAAATATGAAATTATTCAATGTGTCTGTCTATATTACCATCCATTTGTCCAGTGATAAGGCAAAGGACACATAACCATCTGCAGGTCCACTGAGCTCAAACATCACGCCATTGCCCTCTACCCTAAAGGACAGGAAGTGACACGCCGTGTCATTTTGTGGGTCACAGCCCTGTGGATCTCTCAGACAGGACTTCCTGGTTCCACAGCCCTCAGAGGTGAACTGAAGAGGAGAAGAGAATATTATTATTATTCATTAATATTATTTACATATTCCAACGATTCTGAGCCTGGAATTTTCACAAACTCGTGACAGTGTGTAAACTATCACTCCAGTAACTTAAGCAGTGTTTGACTCACTGAACGTGACAGTGTTGAGAAAGCTGTGCTTTTGGCACCAGTGGAACCTCCAAAGGTAGTTTGTGGTGGAGGAACGACACCACTTTGGGACACCACTGGACCTGCAATCTTCACCCAATATTCCTTATAGCCTTGGGCAACTGTTAACCTGAAAGAAAAAAGAAAGGAAAAACAACCCACATTAAAGTCACCATGAAATCCAGATTGACGATTCTTATTTTTTATGCAATATTACAGTATCTATAAATTATTATACATTCTTTTTTTCAAATCATGTGCCCTCGTAATATTTCATCAAAATAACTTCCCCTCCCTCTTCTCTGATGACGTGTTTACTGGCGTGGGAGTGGGACAACCTGACTCAAGAGATCGACTAATAGCAAATCACAACCATCCAACATCACAATAGGGAAGAAAAGAATATCACAACTTCTGTTTCATGCCGACTTTAAGTTTCGTAACTAGAAGGTGGATAAAAACAGCATTTGAATACTTACATAAACTGCACACTGGAAGGAGAGTCAGGTGGTGCTACCCAGATCACCTGGACCTCTGTCTTATGGGAATCGCTGGTATGACTCACAGCAGAGTTCTGTGAATATTGAAAATACCGTAGGTTCAATTAATTATATTCATTTGAGAGAAACAAAGTACCATACTTTCTTAAGTATTTAATCTTTTTAGTTTAATAAATAACAAATAATAGTAAGAAAATATTTTTATAAATATTTTGTTCTCAATAAATGTCACTGACCACTTTATTGTCACACCGAAGAAGCTGAGAAATGTCAGAATTTATTAACTTAAATGATCCGACAATTTCTCTGAGATTCCCAGCATTCCTTGCTTCTATGAGGAAACCTTTGAAGTACCGTTTGGTCCCTGAAGACCCCATTGATAATGTCACTGTGAATATGAAAAACAGATTATACTGTACTTTTTTGTCAGAGCAAGATTTGAAAAAATGTAACATTTGACAAGTATACCAAGACAGCATTCATACCTTTGATTTCATCTTCAGGGCTGAATTGGGATTTGTCTGCTATGATGGTGAATGGTGGATCTTTGGGGCTGGGAACATAGCCATGACCGGGTGTCATGTGCCCACAAGCCTCTTCAACCTTTCCATTACTGTAGCAAATGACTGTCTCTAAACATAATGGGAGCAGCAACAATACAATCCTCATCTTTGTGAGAACCTGAAATAAATGGGTAATTACTGTGAAACCCAAACTTTACAACGATAATTTCACAAGCAATCCAAGTGTAGCTGAAACAGGTGGGGCAGTTGATAAGGGGCAAAAAGATGATAATATCAAGATGCATCTCTGAAAAAACATGGTAATACCATGGTACTTTGACATGCCGAAATATATATTATTAGTACTTAAAGGAATAGTTCACCTAAAAATTAAAATTCTGTCATCATTTACACACCCTCAAGTTGTTTAATTCCTGTATGAATTTCTGGTAACAGTTTAGGGTCCAATTCTCACTATTAACTAGTTGCTTATTATCATGCATATTACTAGGATATTGACTGTTTATTAGTACTTATAAAGCACATATTAATAATTATTCTACATCCCTTAATCCTACCCAATATCTAAACTTAACAACTAGCATTACTAACTATTAACTAGCAATAATTAGGGATTTATTGACACAAAAGTTAATAGTGAGAATCGGACCCTAATCTAAAGTGTGACTGAATTTCTTTCTTCTGCCGGGCACAAAAGACAACATTTTAAAGAATGTCGGAAACCAATCAGTTAATGGGCCCAGTTGACTTCCATATTATTATTATTCTTTTTTTACCATAGTATGGAAGTCAATGGGGTCCATCAACTGTTTAGTTACCCATATTCTTTAAAATATCTTCTTTTGTGTTCAGCAGAAGAATAAATTCATACAGGTTTGAAACAACTTGAGGGTGAGTAAATGATGACAGAATTTTCATTTTTGGGTGAACTATCCCTTTAACTTCTAGTATGATTCAATGATACAAATAAATATAGTCAGCTGCGCATTACAAACGTTTTTCAAAAAATGCCTGTTGTCTCATCAGTTTTTGCTGAGAAACCTGGAAAAAAAGATAAGGAGGACTGTGACTGTAACTGATTACCAAACAGCACTAAAAGACTGCAACGTTTCAACACACATGGACACTGATCTGTAAAAATATGTGTGTGTGTGTGTTACAAGTGTGAATGTGATATGGGCCAGGTTAAGGTCAGGTTTCTGTCTCTTCCGTCAGGCTAATGACATACTGATACAGACAGATAAGACTAAAAGCGTTAGTTAAAGCAAAGTGGGGAAATTCGACCTCTTCCATAAAAACTAGGGTCAAATGTACACAAATATAGCAGCCACATTCACCTTTACACTGTAACAGCAGCAACTTCCTAGTTGACAAGACGTCTGCGCGCATGTGTATGAAGAAGCAGCCAAACAGACAGACAAGCACAATAAACTGCTGACGGAAGGATAAAATAAGTTCATATGCTTACCTCCATTCATCTAAAATAAATTACCATCACACTATCACGTCACGTAAAAAAAAAAAATAAACACAACTGTGCGTGAGGCGGATGTGCACGCGCACGTGCTAAGGTATGGGCGGTCTTTTTGCTAGGAATCGTTTGATTGGTTGAATGCCGTGCTCAAAAATTCTTTCAAAGACATGTGGGTGAGGCTAAAAATGAATGACAAACGGAAATCCAAGTCGTCTAAATATTTAGGCTGTTGTGTTGTCAGCTCGTTTTTGTGTGGTATTATTGAAATTGACTATAATAATAAATAATTCACTATAAAATATACATTATTAATAAAAAATATTATTATTATTGGAGGAATTACAATAGTTCATCGAATTTTATCACACCTGTCCTGCATGAACAACGCATGTTCTTCACAGGCTTTGCCTGATGTAACCAGTGAGATGTAACTAAAGGTACCGGCTATATTTAGGGTCACTGAAAGGTCATGTCATCTCAGATGCATGACCTTATTAGATGCATAAGGTCTGCTTGACTAACACCGGGTGACACTCCAGTGAGGAGTCTGTCGGATGTTGCTGGTATTTAAACTTTTATTAGTTCATTTCAATTATGGCTCCTCATTTTAATATTTACTTAATGCATGAAATGCATGCTACTATCAAATGGGAAAAATAAAAGGCCTCATGTGTCAAGATAAGTAATATTTTTTTGGTTGTTTTAATAGTTCTCTGAGCGTATCTTACATGTAAATACATTATAAGCTGAATTTTATGTTTATGAAATGTAACAGTGCCTAAAATGTATCTTTTACATTTTTCCAAATTTGTGCGATATAAAGTGATCAACAAATAGGGCCTAATTTTTTTATCTTTTTATTTATTTTATACTATGCATGTCTGTATTTATGCAAAATTAAAAAAAAGTACAGTATAGAGTTGCTGATCTATCTATCTATCTATCTATCTATCTATCTATCTATCTATCTATCTATCTATCTATCTATCTATCTATCTATCTATCTATCTATCTATCTATCTATCTATGTCATCGTGTCCATATGATGTTTCAGGTTAGGTCAGTAGGTCAGATTATTCAAACATTGTTGAGAAAATGTCAAGCATTTACAAATCCCCCAATTGCAACAGATTGTTCACATGTTGATCGTTGTTATCGTATGATAGCACACACTCTTGCAAATTCAGAGGTTACCTCTCCTGTGTTTAAAGGGCATCCTAAAAAAGCACCACCAACATGTTCCGTGGCCAACAGACCCGAGTGCTTCTCCTGAACGACATGGAGAGACTGGAGCGCACTCTATTTCGCTTGGAGCAAGGTAGGTCGTCTTCTCAAAAATTGTGCATTGCAAATGCAAATATTTTCATTTACGTCATCATCAGTTGTGCTATCATGATGTTTATTTTATTCTTTTATAGATTTTTTGTATCATTTATAATTTTTAATGCTGTTGTTGATGCATAAATTATTCTATCCCTTTTATTTGTCTTACTTTATTACTCTCTGCAACTCAAGACTTTGGAACCCAAGGAGCTTTGGATAGATTTATGCGTTACTCGTGGTGCATGAGCACCTAATATCACATTCAAAAAGCTGTCCGCTATATATAGCGGAGGAATGTGCTGGTGTTCTGTCCTGTTTTCTGTGGTGCTCATATGTTTTGCAGTGTAGATAATGTAAATATAGTTTACTATTGTATGCAACGGTCAGATTGTTGCTAATTACAGAATAGAATACTACTTATAGAATCAAACTGCTTACTACATACTGCAAAGCAGTACTTTTATGCAACCATAAACCTGAAACTCTTTATAGCATTATCATTTTTGAGCCATGGGTTCCCTATGGAATTTCTTATGGGTTTGTGAAATAGCTTAAATATCCTTTTATGAGTAAAATAAAATCTTAGTCTATTCGATTTTCATGTTTTGTTCTACAACACAAATGTTATACAGCAAGTCTTTTCAAAACAATTAAATTATATCACCATTTTCAATAAATAAGGATTAAAACAGGCCTTTTCAGAACAAATTTAGCAATCTTCCAAAAAATTATGTGAACTGTTTTTTTTTCTTAATGAGATTTTACAAGCATGCTGTTTAGTGATTATAAAATCGCAATATCACCCTAAAATAAAAATGTAAGATTAAAGATTAGACCATTTTTATTGTATATTTTATTGTTTATATACTGTTGTATAAATCAGTGGTCAGTTATGTTTTTTAAACACACAACGGCGCACATTCACTAAATTGTAGATCAAATATTCCAAATATAATTTATTTTTAAATATATATTTTTAAATAGCCTAATGAAATTTTAACATACTGATAAACACAGACATTCTCGCCTTTTAGCTTAAGGCGAACGGGAAAGCTTTCTGAACTGTATGTCTCTAAAAATGCATTACAATACAATGCAACAGCTAAGTTTATCAAACTGCACACCAAAACAATATATGAATAAACAACCAGTGGCTTCAAGGAGAATTAAATCAAAGATTTATGAGGAAAATAAGATCTTCTTGAAGTCTACTTGAAGGGATTTTCATGTCTTGTTCTAAAACATAAATTACACAGTATCTGATATGTATTAAGTTTCATTGCTCTGAACAATAATTTATGATTCAAGGATCTTGTTTGATAAATGCACTATTTAAAGGAAGACTTACGGGGTTATTGGATGTGCAACTCCCCCTGCTGTTTTCTCATGTGACTCACATTTAATTTCACTTAGGCTTTGAGCTTCAGTTCCGCCTGGGCCCGACCCTGCAGGGCAAGAGTGTGCATGTTCACACCGACTACCCAGCACATGGCAAGAAGTTCGTTGGCTCCAGCTTCCGTCAGCTGGAGTGGGTGAACCCCAGTGGCAGAGAGGATGACTCAGACAAGTACTGCAAACTGGACCTGGAGATAGCAGGGTCTTATCAGTATTACTTTGGGTGTGGGTGAGTGAGAATTCTTGGAATTGTGGCAGTTTCTAATTGTTGCCATAAAAAAGGAAGATGTTACCATATTGTGTATACAGGAATGAGGAACGAACCGGAGGTGGCCACATTGTTGTGGATCCAGTGTTGCGCGTCGGCCATGAGAGGAAGATCCTGCCTCTGGATTGCATTACAGTTCAGACTTACCTGGCAAAATGTCTGGGCCCTCTGGATGAATGGCTAGACAGACTAAGAGTGGCCAAGGAAACTGGTATGAATCATTTATCAGTGTCTATTGAAACTCCTTTATGAGTTTGGTATTGCTGTAGTACTTGTGACTCCAGCAAAAGACCATCTGAAGCCCCCTCATATAGAAAAATATGTGCTAATGTGTATAAAAAGGATATTTTTGCTCCCCATTGATTGCAGCAATCTGTGGGTTATTGCACTTTACCAGAAGCATCAAAAAGTAGGGGTGTAACAATACCCTCCTTATGTGACGATTCGCTACATATCACGATACTGAACTCATGATACGATATGATTGCGATACTCCAAGACATATGGTAAAAGGTTAACAAAAGAATAGTAAAATTTGGTATTACATTGGGGGTGTAAATGAATAGGCTTGGACTTGGTGCTGGTAACACAATGCACAGGACAATGGTGACACCAGAATAAAAAAATATTCATGATTCTGAAACTGAAAATACAGAATTATTTTAGACGAATATGCTTGCACTCTGTCGCCGACCAGATATATTTAAACACTTTTTACTGGCAACATAAGACATTTGGCATGATCAGGACCCACAAATATCCCCCCATTGCAATATTATACATTATATTCAGCATTATATAGTAGTTTAATGTAGTACTGAGTACTGACACTAAAACGATGTAAACTTGAATTTTTTCTCACACAGTAACTTTCATTTTGGGTTAGCTATACACATTACAGATTGTCACTATCCACGATACATCGTGTTGCATTTTTGTATTGCGATATATTGTGACACAATATATTGTTACACCCCTAGATTAGAATGCATGCCATATGTGCATGTTTGTGAGCTATTTTTGTGGACATTCTGGACAAGTATTTTCCTATTTGACAAGATTAAGAATGAAATTGATATTCATTTTCCTTTTCAGCCATAGACAGGCTCAGTTTTTTTTTTAATTAGTGGTGTTGGTTAAAACAAGCTGTTGCCTCTAGTACTTGAACAAACCATTAACTCTAAGTATTAAACTTTGGTGTGAAACTTGTTCCCCACCATTTGTGCAATTGATGAATGATGCCTCAAATCATGAAGACTGTTGGCGAAATCTTTTTAATGCTAGATTTTCACTTAAATAAAACTGTAAAAAAATAAGGCAAAAAAAAAAAGATGATAAAACAGGTGAAAAATAACCCCCATAGACTTACATTGTAGGAGTGACCAAAGCCATAGGAGTCCAGAATCTAATAGAGATCTGTGGGTAGACTTTTTTTATTCCAGTATGTAACCATAGCAAATACCCTGAAGACCATATCAACGCCCTAGCCAAAACACCCTAGGAATCATATAAAAACTCCCTGGCACTTTTGCACTGATTACAACTAACAAGCCATTTTTTTGGCCAAGTTTAGCCATTTAAGATACAAAAAGCACAACTGAAGTAGATGAACCACCAATTTTTTGTACATGTTTTTTTTTTTTATGTTCAGGTTACAATATGATCCACTTCACGCCTCTGCAGAAACTAGGCTTATCACGGTCATGCTACTCCATAGCTGATCAGCTAGAGCTGAACCCTGACTTCTCCCCACCTGGAAAGAACTACACCTGGATGGATGTGGGCAACCTGACGGAGAAACTCAAGAAAGAGTGGAATGTGATTTGCATCACAGATGTGGTGTACAACCACACAGGTAATTTCTGCTGTGTCTTTAGCACAATAATGTTTGGAGAAACTTCCAGCACTGAATGGCAATGTCACCTCTGAAGAACGACACAGCAAACTAAGAAAGAAGTGGTTAGGCTATTTATATATCAATTGCAGCAATCAGAGAGTAGATGAAAGCTGGTCACATCTGTGGCACAATGGTTAAGATTTTTGACCTTTCAGTCACACTGTAGGAAGATTAATGTTGGCCGCCTCGTTCTTTGTGACATTCTAATGTTTCATGTTGCCCTCTGCTGCATGTGTGTCAT